ACGTGTGCTCTTCCGATCTTGTTTCTAAAACATTAAAAAATATTACTTCAAACGTTAAAATAAACATTTTTTAAACATTAAAAAAATATTTCTTAAAACGTTAAAATAAACGTTTCTTTAATGAAAAAAAGAGCACTTAACCCATTATTTAAATGTTTTTAAAAATGTTTTTTTTTATGTATTTTAAATATTTTTAAAACATTGTGTGCTGGTTAGGCAATACGTGCTAAAAAATTATTATTTTAGTATTTTAAAATATTGTCATTAAAATTATCTTTTTCGCAATGATCGATTTCCCCCCCTCCCCCCTCCCCTCTCTGTCTCTCTCTCTCTCTCTCTCTCTCTCTCTCTTTCTTTCTCTCCCGTGCATGCGCGTTTCACGATTTGTTTTATATGTCACGTTTTGCAAATTATTTATATTGCTTACATTAAATATATAAAATCATTATTTTGATTTTTTAATGCAGAAATATAAAAAGTTTATTCAAATAGCCGTGAGGATTTGATCAGTACAAGATTTCGTAATCATTGTTCCTTCTTCGTTAGTGCGGTAATCGAATCGATTTTGCCGTATAGAGATATTAATACACTGGCGAACACAAGAATTACAATGTTATAAACTAATGTTATAATCTAACAAGGAAACCTTACAAAGTGTTAAATTTTGATTTTAATAAAATTTTGTATACTTATGGATTACGTAAATAGATGAATTTAAAAAATATTAGTTGATGCTAAAAAACGGTTTGAAGGGAACCATCCCTTATATGTAAAGCAGTTTCCAGTTCTTTTCGTTATATATCTCGAAAACTATTCAAGGTCGATATAAAAAAATGTTTTGCATTTTATGCAAAACATTAACTCTACATGCGAAAATGATAACGTTTATACGAATACATTAAAATCAGAACTTGACACTTAATTTTGTCATAAAGCTATATTTATATATTCAACAACAAACAATAAAACAATATCACACATATTGATCAAATATTATTTTCTTGTTTTTATGATAAAACGTTATCATTTCCACATGCGGAAATATTAATTGTTTTATTGTTTTTCGTGACAAATTAAATTTCCGTATGGAAATGATAACGTTTAATTTGTCACGGAAGCTATATATTTCCAATATTTTTGCTTTAAACAAGTGCAATATGAAGTATAAATACTCTTTGAAGATATATTAAGAATTGATAAGTTTTTTTTACACGCATAATCAATTTTGCTCCCCAAGAAAAACGGTGACGTAAGTTCTAATATGCATCTAATTTTCAGAAATAAAAGTTAAGAATTCAAATTAATAGATAATAAATTATATATTGCTATTATATTATAATAATAAGATGTTTCTTGTTTTATTAGTTTTGTCATTTAAAAGATAAATTGAAGTTAAAATGGCAATTTTTATAGAAGCATTATATATATGTATATTATTATATTATTATTTCGCAGGCGCGAGTCGAATTGTAAATATTATATAAAAATAAAAATTACAGAAAATATTGACAAGATAAAGTTCGTTATTTTAATTATTTATTTCCGTTGTGATTGCTATAGCTATAGTTCCTTCTCAAGGATGTCGTCGTTATATTTATGGGGGGGGGGGGGAAGGGCGTAAGTATTTATAAAATATATATTTGATGAAAAATAGTCGTTTTCCGCATTATAAAGACATACAAAAGAAACAATATTCAAATTAAAAAATTTTAAATTCATGTTTTGTTCTAAGCATAAACTATAATTAAATGCATGTATAGCAGTTTCCATCGGAGTTTTAATCCTTTATTTTCTAGGATTTGTTGCATAGGTAAAAATAATACGTTGCTTTAAATAATTTTTATTAATAACAAAATTAAGAGATCTTTGAAAAAAAAAACACAAATTTTGATATAATTACATTAAAATTTCTGTAACTTTTTCCGTGAATATATACCATATATATGTCGTAAATTTCCCGTAAATTTTATCTTTAAATTTTTATTGTATAGAATTCGAAAATCGTATAACACACAAATTATCTTTTAAGAAAGAATGATTTAAAAGACTGTATCACTGCGATTTATACTTTGTATACCTCTGCTGCCATCGATATATGTATAAACTGTGTATGTACATATTTTGTATATTAAATAAACACTTAATATATTAACATAAAATAATGAGAATAAAATGAATTGATGATCCATCCTGATAGATTATTTTAAAGTTTAATGGAATCTGAGAAAACTTTTTTTTACGAGAGAAGACAAACTTTAAAGACATCCACACTTCGGAGTAGTGTGAGATTTGTCGCTAATTTTAAGAAACCGACGTCTTATCACAAAACTTAGCAGTTTTTTAAAATAATTTTTTAAACGATTTTTTATACAACTCTGAAATGCATAAATACGTATTTCTCTATTTTCTTGCACAGAGATAAATATTTTTTTATTATAAAGAACTGTTATTAAAAAAAATATTTTTGTGCAAATTAATACTTTATTACGAATAATCTTAATACATTAGTTTACGCATAAAGTTATATCTTTTTCAGTTTATATATTTACATGATGTATAAATATCATTTTGCATACGCATTTACGTTTCAGGTTTTCGCATTTGGTTTTCCTGTTTATCCTTAATATTTATATGGAAAGTAATTATTTCAACACTTATAAAAAATAAGATTTTATTTAAAACAATCCGTGAAAACAAATAGTTATGTATTTCTTTCAATACATATACATGCATATCTATATATACACAGAATGAAACAAATCAGTTTTATTTATTACATTATTTGTGATCATATTGTATTTCGCCATTTACATTGATTAAATCTAGACAAGTTTTAAATATTGAGACGTGATAAAAACTATATTAAAGATACTAAATGAATATATATTTAATGCACTATTGGATAAGACTAGAACAAGACGTTACATATTAAAATCGTAAGACAAGATGGAAAAATATTGAACGATTCTATACGTTCACTTATGCAAGAATGTAATGACGAGAACGATAATGAATACAATAGAACAAAAAATTATGTACGCAAGAAAAAAACATAAAAATAGGAGCACATATAAAATACAAAGATTAAAGTATTAAACTAATGTCCAATACGCTGATCGAATTGATATCATACGATTGTCTACATCGAATGAAAGCAAATGGACGGAAAAAATACTTCTCGATGTACATACGAATTACCTATCCTTCACAGCCTTCCAATCTCTAAACAATCTCTTATCAAACTAATTGTAAGATATACATAGAATGAAGGTCGAATTACCGGTCAATTACTAGTCGACAAATCTCATCTCCAGAGAAAACTAAAATCTACAATTCTACTTCTAAAAATGTATGTAAAAAAAAAAGATAACTTGTAATTTGAATATATTTACTGGTTTCATTCTATGTATATATTTTTTCGATATATATATATATATATGTCATATACGTCTCTATAAACATTATAAACTATGATCTTTTTTTAATTTTTTGTCATACATGTTCTTGAAAACGATTTCTATATACAAACTATGTACACGCGCGCGCAAACGTTACAATATATACAATGACTATATACGTGTTTGCATCACAAGTTAAGTACGTTTAGGTGGATTTAACAATTGTATTAAATTTTCCATATTCAATGTATCGTGTGCGTCATGCGGCCAACTCCAGGTAACGCGTTCCTCAAATGCTACAGTAAATTTTGCCTCGGCGTCTGACGGCCTGTTGTTCATTTTATCCCGAATCTCATATTCTGATTGTCCCGTACCTGAATTGTGAACGTAATATTCTCGAGTCTTTTGGCTAAGATGACGGGCCCAAGGCTTCGCGATGCTCCGAACAAATATGACACTGTTAAAAGCAGCGTAGACAGGTTCATTTATGTTGCCGTATTCCAGGGGATTCTTCGTAAGCTCAAATGCGATGGGTAATTTCACGCGGCGCTGTGTAATTCGTAGTCGCTTATGTATGTCAGGTGTCAGCAGAAATCTTTCTTTAGCACGAATGCAAATGTAATCGCTGGGAATTGGCTTCCATATTGCGTCACAAAATTTTTTTGTGAGTTTATACCTGGAAGGATTAAATATCACACATAAATATATAACATTAGTAATAGTAAGTACATACATGTTATTCCATTGTGAATCTGTATTTTTGGATTTAAATTCAAATCAATTTCCTCAAATTTATTTATATTTTTTACACATATTTACATTTGCTATAAATTAATTTATACAGATTATACAATATTATTCGTTGATATGTATACAGCAAAGAAACCATACAAACATCTGGTGTTATAGTTTTAATTTGATTTGTATTCATTTAAAATCTGTATATATTTTTAGATAACGTATACCTAAGTATGAGTAGCTAATATATTATAACATCAATATTTTCGATCATGTTACTGACATTTTTCAAATTTGTACTATGTACGACGAAATAAAAGCAAAACTTACCTCTGGGATAGGTACATACTGCTTACATCTTCTCCACCGAGCATGTAAGCATCTATGATATGCAACGCTCGTGTCTTGGAGAAATATTTTCCGGTCCACCTGGTTTCATATACTAATTCAGCATATACAAGAGTGTTGGCCGGTAACTCGATTTTTGCGTCTCCTACCAAGTCCCACTTGTTTCTTACATATCGATAGACCATTCTTCTTCCCAGACCTAAATAAAATGACAGAATAACGAATGTGATAATTGAATTCATACTGTCGCTAGTGATGACTCACTTTGGGATCATCTTCAACGACAATATAAATTCAAAACGTTCGATTAATTATGGACAATAAAGTATGTCTTGAAAATCACGTTAATTGCGCTCTAATTACTGCATCAATCATCAGTATTTTGTTTTAAATATTATTTTTAATTTCAAAAATCCATTTGGAAATTTTTCTTTGCTTACCCAAGTAAAATGTGGCCAATTTATCTTCCTCGACATACGGACCAGAACTGCACGGCATGCAATACCAATCATACGGATGATTTAAAATCGTATTTTGTATGTTGTCGCTCTTCAATTTTGTCGCCTCGCATTTGAGCAATCTCACGAATTCACCCAATATTTCAAGCGCCTTGTCTTGAGGTTTTGAGACTCGAGGCCTTACTCTGGTTTTGTCCGGTAACTGCCAGTGCTTCAAGCATTCCTTCCGCATATCTGCTTGCTTAGGTTCTATTAATGTTTCATCTTCACAAAATGCGGCAATTTTTAATAGATTTACTAATTGTCTTTTTCCTATAATATCGTTAGAATTTCTAAGATAATTTATAAACTGTATGTCTGCACTTAATACATCAAGCGGTACTATTTCCACCACATCTTTGTCATTATCATTCATCGAAAGCAAACGATTAATCTCAGTGAGATAATCTATTATCTCATGTGTATCGTTTCTTTTGCTTTTACATATTAAATAACGTTCGGAATTAGCTGGTCTAGAAGTATTCGGCTTGAAGATTGAAATACCATCGAAGCATTTATACATCAAATAAACAAGTCCGACACTAAAAGGTGTAAATAAATCGAACAGCTTTGTAACGAAGTGGCCGCCTGGTCTCACTATCATTAGCGCCACTAGACATTGACATAGATATAACTGCTTCGATAGGATCTCCTGGATGTTCTCTTGACCCTCCACTGAGAATCCTCCATCCGACATCATGAAATGTACACCTGAGTTATTAGTATGCTTCATCACTAAATCAGCAAATTCCTGTTGGTTCTGTGCATCGAATACATCTCCATTATCCTTGGAGCCATAAAACGGATGGAATGTTTCGCATGGACCGGCCAAGAAGTCATCTAATTTAAAATCATTCTCATTTTTTAAAGTAAAGCCAAATCCCATGGCATGCCACTTTTTCCTAAATAGAATGTATTCGCTGAAGCCACCTGGGCCAGCGCACACGTCCGCAAAGTACAACAATTCATTATTATCTAAATTCTTCGGCTTTGTAAATATAAAATCGCATGCCCTGTCTATATTCGCCATCTTGACAGCTGCACGATTCAAAAAGATACCAGAGCGAATTGTTTCGTACGGATTCGAACGAAGTCTTGCTCTACGCAACTCCGACTTATCCAATCTATCGAATACAGTTTTGGCTTCAATGATATGCTTTAAAATAATCGGACTACAGAACATGTGCTCGTCATCTATACTAAGTTTCTTCGGTCCCATCTTTATCCAATCCTCCAACATGTAATAGTCAGTAAAAGGTGTATTAGAACAGATCCATTCAATATCCTCTATAACATTTATTTCTTCATCCTGAGGATTCCACTTGAGACTCGCTTCCTTGAGACCAGGCACGCTATGTCCAAATCCTCTCCGACCATGTTGTGTAACTGCTTCTATCGGTTCCACACGACCCTGATCATCCTTTCCAAGACCTCTGCCTGGTTTGTATCCCATTTTTTTCATCATATGCTGAATTTTCCGTGATACATTACTTTCGCCGCCATCGATGTCTGTATTATCCATTGCTTCATTATCATCAATAGATTTTTCAGAAAATGCGTCAGTGCCAATTGCTTCTCCATTATTCAATTTCTTCCTTTTACTTTGGTGCTCATAAATACATTCTTTGGTAAACTGCTCAGGATATAGCCCATCATGATTTTCTGTAGCTAACAGGTGTTTCAAGTTGGGATACGTTCGCATGTTAGGCGGGGAATCTTTATTGCCATCACTTGTGTCATCCTGCTCAATATAACTATCAAAAGACTCTGCCATTCTGGACTTAACATCCTCAGTACTCGTAATACTATCGTCAGTGCCTAACAAATAACAATTCAATTATATAATCTCTTATTTAGAATTAGATATATAAAAAGGTATAAAGAGAATACGTACTACTATCCATATTGTCTACTAATAACGATTGCCTTTCAACGTTTTCAAAGAGTTGATTTTCCAAACAAGTCTCTCCTAACCTATAAAATAAAATAAAAAGCTTTCATTAGAAACTCAAAAATAATCGTTAGAAAATTAATACAAAAACAATTCTCCATAATTTTATATGTTACATTTATATATAGTAACATTTATATATTACGAGGTGAATAAAAAATACATCCTGTGATAGACAGACGGCAAAAAAAACGGTTTGAAACTTCTATAACTTACGACATCCGCTTAAAGTAGTTTTAATAAACGTACATCCTGAAGTTGAATGCTTACTGAGATATAAAGAATAAACAGATAAAATGTATCACGATCTGTTATTCAATTGCAATTTATTCATGTTTGTAACTTCTTTTTCTTTTATAAATATCTCTCGGTTTTAAGTCGCAACACAACGCTCAGTCAGAGAGAAAGAAATGTGAGAGCGGCCACGCCGGGTGAGACCGGTGATTTCCCCCGTACACTAGCGCCCCACATCCACGCTTTCAAAAAAGGAACTACGGACCACGTCCATGTTATAACCAGAGAGGATCCGAGAGCGGACATGCCCGGCCTTTTGGCTGTAACCATGGATCTAAGAATC